CATGAGCGCTTCCGTGTGTTGGTATCGTGGCGAGGCGAGCCGGCCACCGTCGAGCCGGTAGCGCGGGACTCGCCAGCTGCACGACTCGGCAGGCGTCGGCCGACGAGGCTCCCTCCTGATCGCTCGGCAGCCGACGACGGCCTGCAGGACGAGCAGGACGGCAGCGCAGACGACGAGGAGTGCTCGACTGCAGACTGGGTGGGAGCGATATGGCGGAGGAGGCTTTGCCACAGACGCCGCGCAACTCTCGCGCCTTCGAGGCGCGTCAGCCTCGAGACGCGTCCAAGCGAGGTGAGTCCATTGGCAACGCTGACCGCCCATTTATGACACGAGACGCGCTCAAAAAAGAATTATGACAAGGAAGCCTCTCTCACAGCACACTGGCACGACAAGGGCGCGGACTGGCGCGGACTGGCACACACACCGGCTCACCACCGGAGCCGCCTAAGCGACTCCGTTAAGAACGGCAAACCTGGTTTGTGGAACTCCCGCAACTGTCCTGACAGTCCTGACAGAGTCCTGACAGAGTCCTGACAGAGTCCTGACAGAGTCCTGACAGAGTCCTGACAGAGTCCTGGCGGGGTCCTGACGGCGCACGGTCTTCACAGTGCTCACAAGTGCCTCCGAAGAGACTTCCACCTTCCTTCACTGCAACCCTCCTTCCCCTCCCCCCAGCAGTGAATGATAGACGCCCAGCCCCCCTTTCGACCGTGCGCGCCCTCTGCGGAATCGTCCTGATGGGGCAGTCCTGACGCAAACTTGAGAGTCCTGACAAGCAAACTTGAGAGTCCTGACAGAAACTTGAGAGTCCTTACAGAAACTTAGAGTCCTTACAGACAAAAGAAATCACGCTGGGTCTCGCGCCACTCGGCCGACCATGAAAAGCGCACAAGCAAGAGAGGCGCGGCCATGGTGCAGGCAACGTTACAGCCGGCAACGTGCATAGGCAGCAAAGCTCGGCCACGACGTCCATGGCCCGCGCGCCCCCGATTTGCCACCGGCGGCCTGCAGGCCAGCGCCGAGCAGCGGCCTGCAGGCTGACCGACTGCTGACCGAGGCAGCGCCCACGGCAGCGCCCACGGCAGCGCCCACAGCAGCACCCACGGCAGCACCCACGGCAGCGCACACGGCTTGGCTGGCCATGTCAGCCGCGCAGGGACCCTCCCGCGGGTCCAACCCGAAGCGCTCGACCGCTCGACAGCGCAAGTCGGCTGACGGAGCGAGCCGCATAGCCCTCCAGTGCTCACCGCAGGATCAGGCCTGACCGGCCCACGCTCACGGCCTGGCCTGCCTGTGGACCAGCAAACTCGTTGGCTGTACGCGAGGAAAGAGCTGCGTGGCTGGGTCGATACCGTCCCCGTGCGCCCTTTCCCTCAGTGGAGGGCCGTCCCTGCCCTCGGGAGTAACTCGACTGTACACCCCTCCCTACTCTCTAGCTAAGGGCTCTATTCACAGCGGGGGGACAGTGGTTGTCCTGGCGGAGTCCTGACGGAGTCCTGACAGAGTCCTGACGGAGTCCTGACAGAGTCCTGACAGAGTCCTGACAGAGTCCTGACGGCCTATTTTGGAGTTTTTCAACTTTGAGGTATTGTAACTATGTGAAGGCACTATGAATGCATCAGTTCTTTGGGAGAGTGCAATCCATTTAGTTATTACCTCCAACTCAAAAAAAGTCTGGTGGCAAACGGGCAATGGGGTCCCTTATGGTGGCCTCTAAGGGTAAGGTAAGGTAAGGTAAGGTAAACTTCTCCACACACACGAGGTGGTGGGGCAAGGGGGGGCAACCCTCGCGTCTCCACGTCTGACGACAGGAGCCCCACGGCATTCAAAGTGCAAGGCCCAGTGCGCGTGGGTGAGCGGTGTGTGTGTGTGTGTGTGTGTGTGTGTGTGTGTGTGTGTGTGTGTGTGTGTGTGTGTGTGTGTGTGTGTGTGTGTGTGTGTGTGTGTGTGTGTGTGTGTGTGTGTGTGTGTGTGTGTGTGTGTGTCACGTCACTGCATCCTCCGCCGGTTCCTCCCGTCGCCTCTTCTTTGTTCGAATGTTTTTCAATCCATCCTTCACGAAGCCCTCCCATGTAGCTAGCGTTCTTGGCGAATGTCTCGAAATGGCCAGCAGGCGCTGTCTGCTCGCGGTCTGTGCGGGCCGCTCGTCCTCCTCGCCCTTCTTTCGTCCTCCCGTCCCTCCCCTCCACCATGGCCTTCTCGGCACTTCTTTCTCCATCCGCCTCGCCCTGCCTTTTCGCATCGTGCCGTTCGCCCTCCATTCGGTGACCTCCATGGCTGTCCGCCCCTTTTTGGGTGGCGCTCTCGATACGGTTGCGTCAACCTCGACGTCGCTGTCGCCCTCCCCGTCCCCGCCGGCGTCCGTGCCTCGGTTCGCGTCATTGGTAGCGTCTCCGTTGTTCCCTCGTGCCCCGCCGTCGCCCTCTCTGCTCGGGCCGTTAGCGATTTCGCTCCTCCTGCGTGTCGCCCCTCCGTCCCCTCCCCTTTCTTCGTCGTCATCGTCGCTGTCGCGAAAGCCCTCCGGTCCCTCGATTCCCTCGCCTATCCCCTCCGCTGCGTCGTCCCAGTTTATATCCTCATCCTCTGCGCACGTCGCGTTGGCTTCCTCTCTCCCCCTTTCCTCCCTGCCCCTCTCGCTGTCTGGTGTTAATGGACCCCCTTCCTCTCCCTCGCCACCGTCACCGTCTCCATCCCCGTCGCTACTGCCCTCCATGCCCGCCGCCCTTTGTTTCACACTCGTCTCTGCCATGTCCGCCGTCGCCGCCGTCCTGTCTGCTGCGCTCTGTGCTCCGTGGTACAGTCGCTTATTGTTGCTCAGGATTAGCTCACGCACCAGGACAGCCTCCTGCTCGCTATTTTGGCTTGCCGATATGCATCCAAAGTTCCACGCTAGCTCCTCCTTCGTCACGTCTATCTTTTTGCAGTATCTCGCAAATGCCGTCCGCGCTTGCTGGGGTGTTATTGCGTTCGGATCCGCCCTGGTCCCCGCCCTGTATCCCATCTTCTTGCGGTGGCTCCTGTATGAGTCCCCATATGACCATGTGATTTCTTGGCCTTCCTTGACTCCCCTCTCTGCAAACAGGACCATCACCTGCGCAGCTGCCTTGCCTAATTGTATCTCCTCGTAGCGTACGAAGTGCGTCGCCCTCGTGCCTCGTTTCGGCTCATTCGATGCTGCAGGCCAGTCGAAGTTACACCGCGCCGCGACGCTGTCAAAGTCGTCCCCGCTCTCGTCGTCACTTCCATCCAGCTGCGTCCCCCCTGCTGCCGTGTGTCGTGATAGTTCGTCTGGTACTGTCTCTGGTGGCTGCGCCGTTCCTGTCCGGAAGATCTCCCCAGTGTAGATGCTACACACCTCAAATTTCTCTAGCCTCCTCGTCGCCAGTAGGCCGAGTTCCCCTTCCGCTATGCTAGAGGGGCCTACCTTCGCCCCTTCCACCGTGCCGCCCGTCGTTAGCATGGCCGTCGTTACTTTCGCCGCCGCCTCTGCTGCTTGTCGGCGGAGCGCCTCGCGCCTTCCCTCGTCTCCATGCTCCTGGTCTTGTTCTTTTTGTTTTCCTGCGCTTCCTGTCGCTGGTCCGGCGACGTATCTTGCCGTCTGCCTTCGCTTCCTGGCGGGCCGCGTTTCCTTCCCCTCGTCCCGTCTGTTTTCTCCCGCGTGGTCGCCCTCGCGTGCGCCGCTCGCCGTCTGTTCTCCTCTCTGCTCGCCGTCCTCGTCCCCTCGCTGTCGTCGCTTCCCTCCGGCGCTCGCCGCATCGTCGTTCCTATCACCGCGTTTCCTGCGCTGGCCTTCGCCTTCGAGCTCGCAGTGGGTCGTTTTGAGTGTCATCCCCATCGCTCTCGTCGTTCTGCCTCTCCCCGCTTCGAGGCGTCTCTCTGCCTCTTCCCTTTCCTTCTCCTCGGCATCACGTTGTCGATGTCGCCTCCGTCGCCAGCAAATACACGCATTCGCCGCCCACTCCATTTCTCGTATCCTCTCCTTCCTTTCCTTCTGTCCCTCTCTCAGGCGTTCTGTTTCCGCGGCTACTCGTTCCTTCCTCTCCGCCTCGAGTCCCTTCCTCTTCCCTTCCCGTACTTTGATTATTGATGCCGCCGTCTGCTGCAGTGCCTTGAGTGAAGTCACCACCCGTGTGTCATACTCCCTCATGATGTCTTCTGGCGGGTCCTGGTCCATCACACTCGGCTCGGGTAGTCGTCCAGCTAGATCTAAGGGTAAGTTGCGGGAGCTCCACAAACCAGGTTGGCAATGTGCACTCCGCACCATGCACAAAAAAGAATTTTCCCAATTACGCATAAAGAATTGTACGAGCGAGATCCCCTGTGCCCTGTGCCCAGCCCTCTCCACGCGGCGATGCGCCCTCCCCCCCCGCGTTTGCAAAATCCTGCAAAGGTGCGTGTCTGTCCTCGACCCAGCCCTAGCGCCCTGGGGCTGTCCGTTTTATTTATTTATTATGTTTTGTTTGTTATTTATTTAGAATTTTACGAGCAACTCCCTCGCACGACACTTGAGAATTTTACGACAAGTCCCTCGCACAACACTAGGCTCGGGACTGGCGCGCACTGGCACTAACACAGGTACACCACGGGAGCCGCCTAAGCGACTCCTGCGAGGGCGGCGAGGCACTAGCTCCGTGCACTCGACCGCCCTCGCCGCAGGCAAGCTCATTCACAAAATCTGCTCTGCGATGGCCGTGTGAAGAACGACTGAGATACGCTGCTTCTGCAGCCCTAGCCAATTCTTGGTGGTCCAAGTCACCTCATCGAGGTACTGGTCTGCTACTGGGCCCGCGTCAGCTTGGTTCTGCAGCACGTTCGCCGTTTTCCAGAGGATCTCGCCGACCCCCTTCCCGAACCCACCGAACGACTCAAACAGCAGCAGCTGCACGTCGACGTCCTTGTCCTCCCTGGCGTAGCGATATAGTCCCCCCGTAGGAAGGATGGTTGGTATGCGGCGGTCGCCGCCCACCACCCTCCCCCTAGTATGCCAGCGACCCGTCCCCTGCCCCCTCTGTCCCTCTCGCCCTTGCTCTTCCTCTCCCCCTCCATGCCCTCGCCCCCGTACCCCCCCTCCCCCTCCCTCCTCGGTCCTCGCAGACGCAGTAGGGCCCATGCCCCACGCACGACCATGTTCCTTCCGGTAGAACGCTGTTGCCGAAAGGGATGGATGGGAGGACGGCACGCGTGCACGCCCCTTCCTATCCGCCTGTTACTATCGCGCAAAAAAAAGCCCGCAGAAGTTGCGAGTTCTCTCCACGCTGGCAGCCTCCGGCGCTCGGCGGCGAAGGAGCGGCTCGGGCGGCGAAGGATGGCCGCTAGGCACGCAAGCCGACGCCCAAACAGCGGCGACTCCCGGCCCGGGTCGGGTGCGTCGACACTTCCTGCATCCCTCGCTCCCCGCTTCCCGCCGCTCCGCCGCAACCCAAAGCTCTCCCCGCATGTGTGCCTGAACAACGGCATGGAGCATGATCCGCGACCCGCCCGCGCCGGCTCGCCCCCGACCCCCCCCCCCACCCCAACCCTCCGACGGCCGCAGACTTTTGGGACCGCATCGAGCGCGGCCACAACACCACCAAGATGGGGGGCTCCACCTCGTCGCGAGACGTCGCCGCGCAGATTGCGGCGCAGGCGCGCGCGGCGGTGGACCCTCCGACGCTGCAGTGCATCGGTCCGCAGTCGATCAACCAGGGCCTCAAGGCGGTCTGCATTGCCCGCACGTACCTCCAGCAGTCGGACGAGTCTGGCGAGTCCTCCCACCCGGACCTCGTCATCTACCCCGAGTTCATCAAGATCTCAGACGGCGGGGAGGAGGAGCTGTCCGGAGTCAACCTGCGCCTCTCCAAGCGGGCGCGCCGCACCACCACCGACGTCAAGGACGGACGCACCCTCAAGGTCGGGAACTCGACCGACGCAAAGTGAGCTCACACAGTTCCGCCCGAAGACCGCCCGAAGACCGCCGAGACCGCCCGAGACCGTCCCAGGCCGCGCCAGGCCGCGTCCCAGTCCGCCCGCCACAGAGGACCCCAAAGACGCGGCGCCGCCCGCCCGTCACCCCCCCCCCCCATCCACCCACCTTCACGCCGCCTCCGCACCGCCTCCGCAGGTCGCTTGCCGGCGCAATCGCAAACTGCACCCGCGAAGGGTCGCGCGTCGACCTCACTGCCATCGGCGCCAGACTGCAGCGCGAGCCCAGCGGGAGAGTGAGGCGAGAAGCGGGCTGAGAGCCGCCTCTCTCGCTCGCAGGCGCGGGGAGCGTCAACCAAGCCATCAAGGCGATCGCGATCGCGCGCCAGTGCGTCGAGCGTGAGAGTCTTCCCGCCCTCGTCCGGACCCCCTCCCCCAAACAGCGGGCCGGAGTGTGGCAGGTACGTGGAGGAGGAGGCGATCGACCTCTGCTGCCGCCCCGAGTTTATGGAGGTCGAAGTCGAGAGCGGCGCGCGTCCTCTCCTAGCCGCCCCTCCGCCCCTCCGCCCCTCCCTTGGGACCTGCCCCCCCCCTCCCCCCCCCTCTCTCTCTCCAGGCGAGGGCACCTCAACCACATCCGCCCTCCGCCTCCTCCTCCTCGTCGAGCAGACGTGAACTGGGCGAGGGGGGGGGCCACCGGCCGCACCAACGCCGCAGGCCGCGCGGTGGCACCTCGTGGCGGCGGCAGCGCGGCGCGAACCCCCCCCCCCCCTCTCTTCCCCCAACTCCCCCGCTCCCCGGACCTCTACCCCCCTCGGCCTCCGAGTCCGACGCGCTCCCGCCACTTTCGGGAGGGCGGCGCGGCGAGGCCTGCCGTCCCCTTCTCCGTTCTCAGCACTGACCACTGTGTGACAGTGCACTCAGCAGACTCCGCCCTCCGCGCCACTCTCCCTCTCCCTGTGACCAACAGACGAGGCGGGATGCGGTGCCCGCTGTAGGACAAGTGCGATTCTCTCAGCCTGTGCCCCGCCGTGGTGTGGTGCGGTGCTTGCTTTCCGGTTAGCGGTTTCAAGAAAAAGAGAGCTTTCTACTGCGTTGTGGGTGTTTTACGCCACTCGCCAGCTGCAGCTCTCCGCGCGCAGGACACTCAGTCGTCTCGGTCGCGCCCCAGAGACTCCCCGCGCCCCGGAGACTCCCCGCGAGCCGGCGCTACTGCAACAGCACTCAGCAGCAGGGTGTACTGCTACCACATGTAGTCCTCGACGTCGGATCGCATCCCCGTGGTCACCTCGGGCTCGAAGTTTGCCTCGTCCTCCATCGGGTCCCGCTCCGGGTCGTACACGAGCGCCTGGAGGTTGGGCGGGTGGGGTGGGGGGGGGGGGAGGAGGAGGCTGGGCGGGCGGCTAAAACACGTCTAGGGCGGAAGCCACGTCTAGCAGGGGTGGTGACCCCGGGAGCGAGGCGCGCATCTCTCCCCCTCTCTCTCCCCTCTCCCTCCTCCCTCTCTCTCCCTCTCCACACCTCCCTCTCTCTCCCTCTCCACACCTCGGTGGTGAGCATCTCCCCACATCTCCCCATCTCCCCACGTCTCGGTGGTGAGCATCTCCCCACATCTGCCCACATCTGCCCATATCTGCCCACATCTGCCCACATCTCCCCACCTCCCCACGTCTCACCTCGGTGGTGAGCATCGAGCCCGTGATCGAGGCTGCGTTCTCGAGCGCCCACGTCGTGACCGAAGCCGGGTCACACACGCCCGCCTGCAGGCAGGCTCCGAGCAGGCTCCGAGAAGGGGCCTGCGCCGCGGGCGAGGCGCGAGCGGGCTTGCCTTCAGCAGGTCCTCGTACTGCAGCGTCTTTGCGTTGAAGCCGTACCCCCAGTCGTGGTCGGCAACCTTCTCCCGCACGAGCGCTCCGAGCAGCCCCGCGTTGTCTGCGATCTGCATCACCGGCGCCCCCATCGCCGCGACGAGCACGTCTACCGCGACCCGCTCGTCTGGGTCCGGGATCGCGGCGCGCGCCTCGTCGGCGAAGCGAGTGACGTACGCGAGGCAGGCCCCGCCTGCGGGGAGAGAGGGAGAGAGGGGGGGAGAGAGAGAGAGGGGGAGGTAGCCGCGCCACGTACGCGAGGCGGGCGGTCGCCTCCCGGCACCATGCCCTCTCGTGTAATCTCGGGTAGTCTCGTGTGATCTCGCGTCATCTCCACACCTCCCGGCACCATGCCCTCGACGATCTCGTGTAATCTCGGGTAGTCTCGTGTGATCTCGCGTCATCTCCACACCTCCCGGCACCATGCCCTCGACGATCGCCCCCCGCACCGCGTTGATCGCGTCCTCGTACCGCAGCTTCTTGTCCACAACCTCGGTCTCGGTCGGCGCGCCAACCTGCGAGGGGCGCGTGGGTGTGGTGAGTGTAGCGACAGCCGTGCGGTGTCGTGGCGAGTCGTGGCGAGTCGTGGCGAGTCGTGGCGGGTGGGCAGCGGTGAGTGGGTAGCGGTGGGCTGCAGTGCTGCGGCGTGTGGCGCGACAACCTTGATGCGCGCGATGGCGGCGCGGAGCTTGTGGATGCGCTGCTCGATGCGCTGCACCTCGAACTCCTTGTTGGACTGCTGCACGAGCTGCTCCTTGAGCCCCTTGAGCTCCTCCACCCTCGCGTCCACGTCCGCCTAGTGTGACCAGCCGCCACACGCTCGGAGGAGGAGGGGGGATGGGGGGGGGGGGAGGGGGGGGGCTCAGCCGGCTACACACTACCACATGCACACATGCGCACACTCGGGGCCCAGGGCATGCGCAGTCCGCCTGGTGCACGAGCTGCCACTACCACAGACATGCATGCACATGTGCATGTGCATGTGCATGTGCATGTGCATGTGCATGTGCATGTGCATGTGCATGTGCATGTGCATGTTGTGTGCACGTGCGTGCATGCAGTCCGCCTGGTGCGTGCCGTCGGAGACGAGGAGCGTCTTCGCCTTCTCGACCTAATATATAAAAATATTTAATAATAGATAATAATATAGACGAGGAGCGTCTTCGCCTTCTCGACCTTGACGCGGGAGAGGGAGCCGAGCTGCGCGAGGGTGGCCTCCTCCACCTTCATCTTGAGCTCGTCGGTGATCAGAGTCGCGCCGCTGAAGGTGCAGATGTCGGCGAGGAAGGCCTTCTGCACGTCGCCGAAGCCTGAAGTCACTCCTTGAAGTCACTTTCTCTGTAGCAAGGGGCGAGTGACTTCTGCACGTCCCCGAAGCCGGGGCACTTGACGGCGCAGACGTCGAGCACGCCGCGGTCCAAGTTGAGGATGAGGGCAGACAGCGCCTTGGGGGGAGGGGGGGGGGGGGGTAAAGCAGGAGGGGGGGGGGGGAGGGAGGGGGGCCATGTCACCTCCATCACCACGTCCTTTGCGATGAGGAGCAGCGGCCGCTTCGCCTCCACCACCGCCTCGAGCACGGGCAGCAGCTCGTTGACCGTCGTGAGCTTGATGTCTGTGACGAGGACCAGCGGCTCCTCCAGCGTGGTCGACAGGGTTTCTTTCTCCTTGACGAGGAGCTCCGACAGCCACCCCACCTGCAAGCAAGGTGCAGGCAAGGTGCAGACAAGGCGCCGGGGGAGACCGGCTGCCAAACACAGCCGGCGAGCCTCGAGCTCCATGCCCTCGGAGACAGTCACCTCGTCGTGCATCTCCACCCCGTCCTCGATGATTGTCGCGCCGTCGAGACCCACCTGACTCACACCCCCACCGTGAAGCGGCGCCGCCGCCGCGCCGCCGTCTCCCGCACCTCGCAACGGCAGCGCCTTGATGATCGCGTCGGCGGTATGGGCGCCGAGCTCGTCCGAGTTGGCGGAGATGGAGGCGATCTGCTTGTACTGCTCGTACGTCGTCACCGGCTCCGCCAGCTCGCGGATCTTGGCCGAGAAGAAGGCGGCCGCCTTGAGCAGCCCTTTTTGCAGCGCGACGGCGTTGTGGCCCGACGAGGTCAGCCGGATCCCCTCGCGCATGATGGCCTGCGTGAGCACGGTCGCCGTGGTGGTGCCGTCGCCGGCGCGCGAGTCCGTCTGCGACGCCGCCTGCAGCAGCAGCTTGACGCCCACGTTCTCCGGGATCGACTCGAGGTTCACTTCGCCGGCGATGGTGACGCCGTCGTTCACGACGGCAGGCATCTTGCCGGTCGGCCGGATGACGACGTTACGCCCCCGCGGACCGATGGTCACCTTGACCGCGTCCGCAACCTTGTTCACCCCAGCCATCAGCGCCTCGCGCGCCTCGCCCGCGTACAGCACCTTCCGAGCCATCATGGCGACCGCCGGTTGCTGCCCGCCGCGCACCGGCAGGACGCCCGCGCTGAGGCTGGAGGCTGGCGAGACCGCGAGAGCGAAGAGCAGCAGCGACACGCTGAGCCAGCTCCTTCTCCTCCCGTGGATGTGGGCCGCCATCGTCGTGTGAGCGTCCAGCGCGCCGCCTAGACCCGGGACGATCTGCGCGAGCCCAGGTGAGTGCCGCTGAGGAGAATTCGATGCCGACGAGGTTCCTTTGGCATCGTGGAGTGCTGGGGGGGGCGACAGGGAGAATGTGGCCTGAGTTATGTGTACGCCAACTCAGGGTGTGTGGCAGCCACGCTGGCTGTGTGTCTTGTGAGCTTGTTTGTGTCTGTGTGTCGCTCGTGCGTGTCGTCATCATCTGTCCCGCGTCCACCCATACCGCGCTGGTCCTGGTGTCCAGTCCGAGCCTGACTGTTCTTCACCTTTCTACCTAACCTAACCTCGAGGTGGATATCCTTTGGCCGCGTTGGGTAGCGAGGCACCGGCTTGAGGCTACTCCCATCCCTCCCTTGGGTTGACAGCGTTTTCTTTCTTTCGGGTGTGAGGCTATCGACTGCACTCCAAGTGCTCCAAGTGCCCGTGCACACTGTGAACGGGACTCCCATCCGCATCCAGCATCCTCCCTCCCTTGGCTTGTATTTTCTCTCTAGTTTACTGGGAACTGGCGCACTGGCACGAACACAGGCGCAAAAAGAACTCGCGGAGCCGGACGGACCCCTCAGTGGCCGTCGTCGTCATCGATCAAAAATCGCGCAAAGACAATAGCAGACAGGCGGACGCATCTCCCGACCCGAGCCACCCTGCCTCAATACCACGCGTGCGAAATATCGCCATCCCACTCTGGGTACCCAAATCGCTCCAGGTCGGGGATACAGTCAGCGCGGTCGACGCTCGCACGCCGATCGCATACCCGCCTCTACACATGCACCACATTCATATTCAGCGTGAGGTGCCGCATCTTTTTGAGACGCACGGCGACTACACCATGGACAGGGCCGACGGCTATCGATTGCAGCTGCCCGAGGGAAAGTGCGTCGTCAACGCGCCCCCTCAGTCGCGGGACGTGTCGGTGTGGGCGCATGTGAACGACGTGCGCTTTGCGGACTCCTTGCACTCGACCGCAATGGCGACGGAGCCTCAGGCCGAGGCGGTCTCGGCGGCAGTGGAGGCGGCGCGCTCAAAGTCGGAGCCCTACTCTTGGTACCTCCGTGTCAAGTTGGAGCTCGCCCCTCCCGGGGAGAAGTGCGAGCGGGTTGACAAGGGCGCGCTCTTCCACCTCTACGACTCGCTTGGCATGCGCGACTCGCTCACGCGATACAACGCCTCGAACAGTACGCACGTGGCCTTCTGGACAATCCGTCCGACGCGGACTGGCCAGGTCGTCGCCCGCGTCCCAATCCCTCTCTTCCTCTGTGCACGCTCTCGCCACCGTTGCCCTGCACAGATCACCTATGAGCAGCGCCTCTTTACACCTCGTACGGTGAGTAGGTCCTCGCCAGCACCGCTCTGTTGCACATCCACCGCGCGCGGTACGCCGGCTTTGTCCTCGTGCGCGGCAACCATACCCTTTCCTCGCTCACCGATCTCCCCGCAGTCTGCGACGCTGAGGCGTATAGCAGGCCCGCTTGCACCGCCATCGAGAAGGCGCGGCCACCCCGAGCATTGTGGGACCCTGCGGCGGGCTGCCGCTTGATACGTAGGCGTGGAGATGCGGCGAATCGCCCGGCCCTTGCCCCACCTAGCCAAGAGACGTGCCCCTCTGCTACGCCTAACTCTAGGCGAGGGAGGTGGTCCTCGCCAGCGCGCAGAGACACGGACTGCTGCTATGCAGAGACGACCCCTCCGTCCCCTTCTACGCGCGCCGCGCTGAGCATGGGGACGGCCACGGCGGCGTGTATGACCGGCAGGGCAGGCTGGCCTGCTCCGACTTCCACTTTCGCGCGAGCGAGCCGCTGACGGTCTTCTCTTTCTCGCGGCCCAACTGGGCCGCGCAGCTCGACACTTTCCCGCAGCATACCCTTCTCTTCTTCCACTACGTGCCGGAGCGGCTCCGGCCGTGCTACGATGGCGAGCTCGAGGTGGAGGACGCGGGAGACTCGATCGCCGATCCAAAAGGGCAATCCGCGACGGTCCCATACGACGTCGATCACATGCCAAAGTGGAGGCATGCTCAGTGCCTCGGCGAGGGCTCGCTCGGGCACCAGTGGTACGTGGACAATGCCAACGGCCGCCAACGGGCAGGCATCTGGGATATGACGGCGCGGCGGTATGGAACCGCACATGGAAGGCCATCCTCCGTGCGACGTCTCGCTCAACACCTCTGGCTCTGAATAGGTATGACTACCCGTATGAGTGGCCCGTCCGGGAGCTGCCTCAGCAAGGCTGGCAGCTGCATTCGCCATCGCAGAAGGCGGCGCCGTCGGTGGCGTCGAGCAGCCGGGCCAGCCACTCCCACTGCAGGGTCGCGCGGGTGGGCGAGAGGAACGTGTTGAAGTGCAGTCGCTAGTGTGGCCGCGCGATGCCCCACGTGTGGCGGAGTTATCTTCCTCCTGCCCCGAGTCCGCCGGGCGAGCGAGACCGTCCCCGCGTCCCGGCGCTCGCGAATTTGTGCAAATTCGAAATTCTTTCTGTCTTCGAAGGAAGCCGTCATCTACGCCCCCCCTCGACCCTCACCCGTCGGCCCCCCGCATCGGCGAGCGGCACGGCCGCGGCCGCTCAGGAGCCAGCGCCGCCGGCGCGCCGCCTCCCGCGCGCGCCTCGCCCACGCCGTCGGCGGCGGCGAGCAGGGCGGCGAGGGAGCGCCCGATCCGTCCAACCACCTCCCTCCTCCCCGCATCTCCAAGGTAGTCTGGGCCGCACCCGCCTCGAGGCTGTCCTACCCCCCCTCCCCCTCCCCCTCCCCCTCCCCTCGCCCCCCCTCCCCCCCCACCTAGCCGCGCCTCGCTGTCCAGTCTCCCCGCCAGCTCTCTCTCCCACTCGCACACGCCCCTCCCGCCGCCGCCGCCTCCGCCACCGCTACCGCCCTCGCCGTCTCCACCACCCCCTCCTCCCCCCCCCACCCCTCCCTCACGAGACACGCGGCGCAGAGCCGCAGCGCCGCGAGCCACCGCCACCGCCACCGCGGGAAGCGGCGAGAGCGGGTAGGCGAGCGGGTCGCTCCGGTGCCAAATGTTGTGGCGCCCTCCCAAACGCAGGACGGAGCAGGGCAGCGGGAACGGCGGCGCCTAATCAACCATTCCCTCAGGCACATCGAGCCCCTCTCTAGACTGGGTGGAGGCGGGGGCAGCGGGGGGAAAGCGGTGCCGACGGGGCGAAGGGCGCCACTGCCAAGCCACCGCCCCTGTGCCGGGCCTCCTCCTCCTCGCCCCCACTCTGCCTGGCGGCGGAGAGGCGGCCAGGGAGCCAGAGGGGAAGCGGCGAACCGATTGTCCACAGAGCAACGAGCGTGCGCCCTCCCTCCAGCAAGGAGGAGGAGCTCACCTGTTAATCCATTCATCACGAATTAAGCCCCTCCTCTCTGCAGAGAGGACGAGGAGCAAGGCGCCGCAGGACGCGCCGCCATCTCTTCCACACCCTCCTCCCCCCCCTCCTCGACCGCCGCCTCCACCGCCGCCTCGCCCCCCACCTCTTCCTCCGCCGCCGCCTCCGCCGCCTCGTCCGCCTCGTCCGCCTCCTCGTCCGCTTGCGCCTCCGCGAGGACGAGCTCTGCGAGGAGCGCGCCTGGTCGACAAAGAGTGAACCAGGGAAGGTCGAGGGGGAGGGAAGGTCCAGAGGGAAGAAGGTCCAGAGGGGAAGGGTCAGGGAAGGGTCGCCTGGTCAAGAAAGAGTCAATCATGGAACAGCCAGCAACGATCAAGCCCGAGTGAGGGACTCCGCAAGCAGCGCGCCGCAGCCCTGCGCCACCACCACAAGCGGCGCGCTCGGCCCTGCCTCTGCCGCTAAGGCGGACAGCGCGCGCCCGACCTCGCGCCGCGCCGCGCCATCGAAGGGCTCCTATGGCGGGGCGATGCAGCATGACATGCCATACACGAGACGCAAACGCCACAGCCGTAGGGGCCTCCTCCCTGCCGCCGGAACGAGAGGAGATGAAGCGCACGCACCGCGCCGCCGCTGCAGCAGACGGGTCTGCATACACCTGACACCGGCAGCCAGCCGTCCCTCAGTCACTCTCGCCGCCGCTGCAGCGGAGAACGGTCCGCAGACACCGAGGCAGCGTGGCTGCCGCCTGCGCCGCCGCCGCCCGCCGCCCCCTCGAGCGACAGCCGGCACGTCGCGAGCGCCGCGGCGGCAGAGGCGGAGGGCGCGGCGCTGGTCGCGGCGGCGGCGGCGAGGGCGGCCGTCTCAGCAGCGCGGAGGTCGTCTCTCGCCTGAGGTTAGCAACTTGGCGGGGAATGAGCTTCGTCATCGCATTCCCTCGCCGTCGCGGAGACGTGTCGGCGCTGCGTCGTCGACGTCGCCTCCGTTGCTCACTGCCCGAGGCAGCGCCACGCTGCTTCGGCGGCGGCTGCTGCTGGCCTGCTCGCGCCTCTCGGCGGACTCCCAATGCGCGAACCTATCGGCATGCTTGAGGCTCTCGGAGAGGATCGCCCGCAGCTCGGCAAGCCCCAGACGTGCGCGCGACCGGAGGACGAGGCGGCCGAGGAGCTTCGCCGCGGCGTCGCGGCCGTGCTTCTTGGCGAGGACGCGTGCCGTCGCCTCGCGCAGCCGGCGGACGAGGCCAGCCTCGGCGTCGGCGCTCGACGACGAGAGCACGAGAAGCACCGCGACGCAGCCCTTCCGCTCTTTGCCAGGCCGCCTCAGCGGCGGCGATGAAGGAGCGGATGAGTTGCAAGAAGAGGAGCCCCGCGAGCCGTCGTCAGAGGTGTCGGCCTCGCTTGGAGCATCTCTGCGCCACATCGTCTCTTAGAGGCCACCTCTTAGAGCCCACAAACTCGCTCTCGCCGCCGCCGGCGGCCGGGCTTCCTTTTTCTCTTTGCTAGTCGGCTCTCTAAAGCTTCGCCGAGACGTGTCCAAGCTGGAGAGTGTTGGTTGCTTCTACATACAGCTTCCCTTTTGGAGGCGGTGCTTACTGCTGTCAGTTACGTCCTGTCTCCTGTCGTCAGACTTCTCCTGTCAGACTGTCGGAGAAAGTGCTGTCAGCGCTGTGCGCTGTCACGTGTCAGGCGCTGTCCGGGGTTTGCTGTTCGTTTTCTTTCTTTATTTACTGGGCACGGGACTGGCGCGCACTGGCACTAACCGACAGGTACACCACGGGAGCCGCCTAAGCGACTCCCGCGTGCACGGAAAAGAAAACCAGCTGCTTCCCCGGCCCTGGATGTGCGCGTTACCGACTGCACTCCTCAAGTGCTCCAAGTGCCGTCCCCAGCGCCACACTGTCTCGGCCCCAGTGTCGAGCAAACAAAGACAAGCAGCATCAGCAGTGTAATGGAAAAAGAAATCGCGGTGCGCGCAAAATCCACAGAACGTACCCAGCTACCCCTTACTGACCTGTTCCTTTTTACCCATCTCCTAGTAGAGGTGTCCGTTTTATTTATTTATTTACCCCTTACTGCGTCTCGCGCGTGACCGCGAAGCGCAGCACGCACGCGCTGAAGTCGCGCGCCGCGATGCCGTTCGTGTTTCCTGCCGAGTCGAGATGGTGCCGCTCGTGGATCTCGTAGAGCGAGAGGACGAGGAGCGCCGCCCGCGCGCGCGCCGCCGCGGGGAAGAGCGAGTGGCTTGCCGGCGACCACGGCGCCGCCGCCCGCCGGATCAGCGCCGCCGCCTCGCCCTCGCCGCCCGCGGCGCGCTGCAGCGGCGTCGGCTCGCCCTCGTGCAGGCTTGCGCCGCTGCGCAGCAGGGAGAGAGCGCGGGCGGCGGTGAGGGTCTCAAGGTGCGCGAGCGGCGTCCAGCCGCGGCTGGCGACCAGCCAGGCGGCGAGGTCGGCGTGGCCTTGGCGGTTCGCGACCTCCTCGGGCGTGCCAAAGTGCGGCACTGCGGCGCGGGAGGCGCCGTAAGAGGAGAGGAGCTTGGCGACCTCGAGGTGGCCGAAGTGGCACGCGGCGAACAGCGGCCTGACGCCGTTGTTGCGGGCTTGGCCGACCGCCGCGCCGGTCTCGAGGAGCAGCCGCGCGCACTCGACGTGGCCGTTCTGGCACGCGATGTACAGCGGCGTGGCGCCTTGCTCGTCGGCTTGGTTGATCGCCGCGCTGGCCTCGAGGAGCAGCCGGACGATGTCGACGTGGCCCTTCTGGCACGCAATGGACAGCGGCGTGGCGCCGTTGTCCCTGGCTTGGTCCTTCGCCGCACCCGCCTCGAGGAGCAGCCGGGCGCACTCGAGGCGGTTGTTCTGGCACGCGATGAACAGCGGCGTGGAGCCCTTGTTGTTGGCTTGGTTGAACGCCGCGCTGGCCTCGAGAAGCAGCCGGGCGATGTCGAGGTGGCCCTGCCGGCACGCAATGATCAGCGGTGTGGCGCCGTTGTTCATGGCTTGGCCGACCGCCGCGCCAGCCTCGAGAAGCAGCCGGGCGATCTCGAGGTGGCCCTGGATGCACGCGGCGAGCAGCGGCGTGGCGCCATTCTGCTCAGCTTGATCGACCGCTGCGCCAGCCTCGAGGAGCAACCGGGCGCACTCGAGGCGGCCGTTGTGGCACGCGACGTACAGCGGCGTGGCGCCATTGGCCTTGGCTTGGTTGACTGCCGCACCGGCCTCGCGCAGCAGCCGGGCGACCTCGGGGTGGCCGTTCTGGCACGCGATGAACAGCGGCGTGGCGCCACCCTCCTTGGCTTGGTCGACCGCTGCGCTGGCCTCGAGGAGCAGCCGGGCGCACTCGAGGTGGCCCTCCTGGCACGCGATGAACAGCGCCGACGCGCCGCCGCTGCTACCACCGTCGCCGCCCGTCGTCGCCCCGACGCTCGCGCCAGCTTCGAGCAGCAGCCGCACCGCCTCGGCGTGCCCGTGGCGAGCGGCCCAGGTCAGCAGCGTGTCCTGCTTTTCGGTGTCGAGCCGCGCGTCGAGACTGCCGCGCGTCCGCCGGCCGGAGAGGAAAGCGCGCAGCGAGGCGAGGTCGGCGGCGGCGATGTCGGCGAGCAGCGTGGCGGGCGGGGTCGCGGCGGGCGCCATCACCGAGTCAGCGTGGCGGGCGGGGTCGCGGCGGGCGCCATCACCGTTCGAGACGCGGCGGCTAGCCCCGCTCTTTGAGTCTGGTGCGACAGAATTCGCACAAGGAAGAATTTCACATGCTCGGAATCTGAAAATGTTTTTTTCAGATTACTCGGCGAGCACAGATCTCGCCGCTTTCCTCCCGCTGTGATTCTGTGTGAGCTCTGTGTCTTGATTTGCCAACAATATACCTACACACAGATTTCGTCGCACGAGGCCGAGGAGAGCGATGAGAGAGATTTTTAGCAATACCAAACAACTCTAACACTCACACGTAATTTGGGGCCTGTTTTGTGTTAGGATTGTAGATTACTCGGACCGAACAAATATTTCCTCGCAGATTACTCGGCTCGCCTGCTTACCCATTTCAGTCGTGAGAGGGACTGTCTTCTAAAATTCTTTGATGTGCTGTGCGACCGCCTTTCGTTAAAAAAATTTTCAGCTACTCGGATCCGCCCGCCACGATCCTGAAGACACATCGCACGAAACCCTCGAGAAGCACACAGAGCATGATCCACGCTGAGGGAGGGTGTAGAGGATGTAGAGTGTAGAGCGCTGTAGAGCTGTAGAGATGTAGAGCGCTCCGGAGTGCTGTAGAGCTGTAGAGCTCTACATCCGCCGCGGGACGAAGCGGGTGCGTTGTAGAGCGATGTAGAGGCGCTCTACAACGTGAAATCTCTACAACAAACTCTACATCATAAGCGGCGAACGAGGCACGGTCGCTCTCCGACATGAGGCGCGTTGCACTTGCCAGTGCTGCCCTGGCCTTCTGTCTGCCCGCCCAATGGGTGGGAGGTGCCTCTGCTGCTGTGGCATGCCTCACGGCTACGACTGGCCGGCGCCTCGGCGCGTCAGCTCGGCTCGGCGTAGCGATAGTGGCCAGCGCAACTCGCCTGGACTCAACGCTCAGCCAGGAGCTCCCGCACACGCTGGCGCGAGTCATGGCGCATGCAACGCGTCTGAATGCTCGCCTCGCCTCGCGCAAATGCGTCCTCGCAGCCGACAGTCCACCGCCTGCTAAAGAAGCACTGCGATGAATGCGGCACCGGCGACGCATGGCAGGCTGGTCATGACGCAGTTAGGGTGTTTTGTGCCGTCAGAGTGACTCTCTGTGTGCCAGGGATAGTCAGGGCCGTCCATCAGAGCTCCAGTAAGCTCGGAGACACCCCATTAGTGCGACTCGACCTCTTTGAGTCACTGCCTTCCCGGCGGTTTGGCTGTAGAGCCTCTACAACAAACTCTACAGCAAAATCGCGCTCTACATCGCTCTACAACGCACCCGCTTCGTCCCGCGGCGGATGTAGAGCTCTACAGCTCTACAGCGCTCTACATCTCTACAGCTCTACAGCGCTCTACACTCTACATCCTCTACACCCTCCCTCAGGATCCACGCGTTCGCCGCCTCCCGCTCCCGCTCCACCCGCCGCGACGGGTGGGTGCGCAAGCCGCCTCCCGCAACCATGGGCGACTATCTCCTCGGTGGAACCGCACTCAAGCAGGCTCCGGAGCACCCGACCTCCGCGAGCATCACGAGCATCAAAGAGAAGGTGCTCAACCTCAACGACCAGACCGCCTTCCCTGCGTTTGGCAAGAGCGGCGGCGGGGAGAAGTCGGCGGGAAAGCCGGCGGCGGCGTCCAAAGTGGCGCCCCGGCTCGCAAAGGCGAGCAAGGCCTTTGTCGTCAATTGTAGTGTTTGTTTTGTTGTATCGACTGCGTTTCAACTCCCGTCAGCCGTCGGTCGCGCGCATCCGCATGTAGCGAGATGGGAAAGCGGGTGTAGACGCGGCGTTGGTGCACAGGGCGGCGAGACGTTGTGACAGCAGCGTTTCGTGCGAAGGGCGAGGAGTCCGTGTAGTGGTTGCGCACGTTGGATTGGAGGGGGGCGTTCGGCGGCGGCTTTTCCCAGCCAGATGTTTACTCGGGCGACGGAAATGTCTAGGCCTGCACAAGGTCTGAGCCGCGGCCGCTCGGCGCCAAGTGCAGTGTCACGCTCGCACGCGAAGGGGACACAATGGGAAATCCTCGTTTCCTAGTCCGCGTTGCTTCCCTCGTCGGGAGTGTCCGTCAGGAGGGCGTCCCCTACTCGAGTATCATGTGGTCACCCCCCAGCCGTGGCCACAGTGTGCTCATTTGAAGCACGCTCGCAGTAGTTGGTGCGCTTCCGTCGCTCGCATGAGCCGCCATGCCGAAATTGCTCGCGCTGGCTAACCTCACCGCGCATCGCCGCCTCCAAACCGGAGACTTCCCAACCTTCGGCTGCTCGCTCACCGAGGCGCATCGCGGCGGCCTCGCGCCAGAGCTCAAGACACAGCACTGCATAGAGCGGGAAGGCTACCTCCGCTACCCGGCCGATTTCCACGGGCTGCGCAACCGTGTCGAGCATTGCGTCGACCCAGGTCCGCCACAATGCCCCAAATACTTCTCTCTGAACTCCAAACTCCAACGCTTCGCCCTCTGACCGCTCGCTCCTCCGTCGCCGGACAGCGCGGGGCGAACGCGTGATCTTCTCCAACGGCGTGCCCGACCACGACATCGAGCTCCAGCGGCACAAGGCGAGGCCGAGCCCCTTTTGCGAGGCGAGGTACCAGGTGCGGATGAGCAGCAGACGACACGAGACTACACGAGATTGCCCGAGATGACACGAGATTACACGCGGTACCAGGTGCGGATGCCGCTGCGGCCACGCTACGTCGGCGAGGTGACTGAGATCTCGAGCACGGAGCCGATCGCGTGGAGGCTCAACGGCGTGCCGCTGTACTCGTCGGCGTGGGCGGTCTGGAACCGCTTCATCTTCTCGAGCTACGCGGCGAGAGGCCACCAGGGGTCGTACACCTCCCTGTGGCACTACCACCTGCTCTGCGAGCCGGGACAGGACTGCGAGGCCCGCGGCGCTGTAATGCCGCCGCCCGAGGCGAGAGCTGCTCTAGCAGCAGCAGCAGCAGCAGCAGCAGCAGCAGCAGCAGCAGCAGCAGCAATAGTAGTGGTAGTAGCAGTATAGTGCCGTGCGGGAGGCAGCCTACTAGCGGTGAACAGGAGCTGCGGGGCGGCGCTGTGAAGAGGAGCTGTGAAGACCTCGAGCTGTTGAACAGGAGCTTCTCGCCTACTCGATGGACGGATTCGGCATCTCACGCCCCCCTGCCCCCACCCCCTCCTGGAGAGCCGAGGTCACGCGAGGTCACGCGAGATCACGCGAGAGGACTGCTTCCATCGCAGGCATCTACGGCCCCCTCCCCTCCTGGAGAGCCGAGGCGGAGCTGGACGAGTGCAACGGCCGCTTCGTCAACGGCGAGTACCGCTACCACGCCAGGCACGCGGTATGCAGAGAGGTGATGAACAGTCGGGCACGACATGCGCATGTGCGTGTGGAGCATGCGCCAGACGCTGCAGGGGGGGGGGCGCGAGCGAGACGTTAGAGACGGGCACACAGGGGCGACACACAGACACACAGACACACAGAGACGACACTCCGCCAGCTGATGCCACGCCAGGCTGTGGGCGGACATCGACTTGGCGAAGCCGTATTGCCGGCCGGGCGACCGAGACAACAACTGGAACTTCGCCCTCGGCTGCTACCGCGGCGACCTCTCCCGCTCCGTTGTGTCTCGAGACTCGGGAGACCGTCGGAACCTCATCTGCGACGGCATCCCGACCCCGGCGGCCCCGCCCCCTCCGGCGCGCGTGCGGCGGATTGGCTCATGATTCAGTTCAGTACTGCTCAGTGATGAGAATGACTCGATGTTAGGCGCCGTGTGCGACAGACCCGCAGGCCTTCTGCGCGAAGTTTGGCGCCGCTTGGCTGCCGAAGGAGCGACACTACTGCTACAACACGCAGCAGGACTGCTACGAGACGCTCTTCCCGCCGCCGCCGCCGCCGCTTCCCGCGCCGCCGCCGCCGCCGTTTCCGTTCCCGCCCCCGCCGCCCCCCCTCGCCCGCCCGCCCCCCCTCGCCCGCCCGCCCCCCAACCCTCGTGCGGCGGCGCTGGATGCAGCGAGGCCGCCGCTACGCGAGACGCAGCGGCCCGTCCACGACACGTCGATGACATGTCCGAGACACGTCGGCTGTAGGACGCCGCTCAGCGAGCGGTTGGCCGCCCAAGCGCAGCGAGCTGAGCCGCCGCCCGGAGCCGCAGACTTGCTGCGGGGCGGGCTGGGCCCGTCTGCCGGCAGCCTCTCGGGGCAAGGAGCGGCCCCAGCTTCGTCATCGCCCTCGCCCTCGCCCTCGCCCTCGCCCTCCTCGCCCGCGCCCGCGCCCGCGCCGTCGCCGTCGCCGTCGCCGTCGCCGTCGCCCGCGTCGTCGCCGTCGCCGGGGCCCGCTTCTCCGCACTGGAGGCAGCACTACTACGCGCCCACCGCTGCAGCGCCGGCGGGGGCAGCGCCGGCGGCAGGGCAGGCGGGGGCAGCGCAGGCGGGGGCAGGGCAGGCCGCGGGGTCCGCGAGCCGCCGCTCCTCCTACTATGTCGCGGGCTTTGGGCAGCAAGGCGCGCCGCAGCACAGCGGCGGGAGAGGCGGAGGGAGACGTGGCTCGCTTCCGGCGCCAGAGACGCTCACCCACGGCTGGGCAACCCCCCACCCCCACCCCCCCACCCCCTCGACCGCACAGGCGCATGCAGAGTACGCGGGCGCGGCCCGAGACGTCGGGGGCGACTAGAGCGGAGGTCGCACGAGATCACTCCTAGATGCTGCTGCTTCCTAGGCGCGGCCAGCCGACCGGCGACTACGCCGAGCGGTGGGGCGTCAGCGAGGAGGAGTGTCGCCGCTTGTGCGACGAGTCTGCGGCGTGCCGCGGGCTGGAGATGAAAACCGACCGCCGCGTCGCGATGCAGCGCTGCGAGCTGCACCGGTGGGCGCCGACGCACACTCTGCCGATGCCGGGCTTCCTGTGTTTTGTCAAGGCGTGAGGCAGAGGCCCGCCGCGCGAGTACATTTTGGTGGCCCTCTTAGACTTCTCCAGTAGCGTACTCTGTCAGTTGTAGCATGTGTAGGGCTGAAAGGGAAGGGCGTCGCATGTTTCCATTTTGATTGCCGAGATCGATTCTATACCCACACTAAAGCCGTACAGTCTAAAGGGGAAGGACCCTCAGTTGACCAGGGGTTGTGCGCCAGGCCCTCCTGCTCGGCTCCAGCCAGGAATCCCACTAGGCCAGTAAAGAAGAAAAACGACGCGCGTACAGTGGGTTGCGGGCATTAAGAAAACAGGATTCCGCGGCACGCCGCCGTTTCTAAGCCTTTCCACAGCCCTCATCCACCCCACGCCGTGGTTTCTTAGCTCCGGGCGGGGCACTCAATCAAGCCAGAGCGCCGGCCCGAAGGATTTTTAGGTAAGAAGAGTGTTAAAGCTCGGTCCGCGAGGGCGATGCCAAGAGTCTGCCGCCGAGTCGGCTCTCTGGATGAGGGGAAGACGCACACACGCCTCCATCCACTGACCACTCCACTCAGAACACCGCAGACTTGAAAAGTGACAAGTGCGCTGCCGCAGGCCCAGGCGAAGAGAAATTTTGAGCTGCAGCTGGGGCTCCGGACCCGTTCACACTCGTGTCTGGCCTTTTCTCGGGGCCGCGCCTGCGGCGCCCCGTGGTTTCTTAGATTTTTGCGGAAATCGCCTGAAAAAGAAAGAAAACAGACAACCCAAGGGAGGGATGGGAGGACGGCACGCCGCCACCACACAGGGATTTTAAGGACGGAGGCAACCCCGGCTCCGTTGGAGACAAGTTCGCCTTCGGCAACACCGAAGAGCGCGCCCGCCTTGCAAACATGGGCTGCAAGCAACGCGGGTTCCGTGGTCAACGGGCGTTCGACCACACCACCGGCCAAGGCTACGTCAAGTCACAGCGTGGCCACTACCATGATGGGATCTTCACCAAACGCAACAAGTTCAACCTGCTTCTCCACGAGACGTTCGGCGGCGGCTTCTCGCCGCCGGCAGTTGCAAAGATCAACCGCCTTGCGCGCAAGGCTCAACGCTCGGGCGTTGACCGCACCGCGTACCCTCCCCACTCCCGCCTCTCATTTGTGTCACACCACGCGGAACGCATCTCCATCGCTTCGGTGAAGGGGGTGAACCGTGCCATCCTCGATCGCCGTGCAAAGCTCGCTTCCGAGCTCTCACGCCGCGCGTAGGGCCCTTAGGGGCCTAGAGAACACAACCCCCTCTCTCTTTTCTCCCAGTAAGCTAAAAGTACGTACGTACATGGCTGCAAGAAGCGAGGGCAACGGACCGCTCGACGAGGAGGAGCTTCGCGCCGCCGTCGAGGCCTCTGGCCTTTCGCCGACCCGCTGCTCCGCACTGGCCGCGCCTCTCTTCGCGGAGCTTTCTCTCTCGCCGCACCTGGGAAGCGTGTCCGACGTCTTCCAGGTCCTCGTGGTCATCGAGGACGGGCTGCTCGGCCGTGCCGAGGCGGTGGACCTGAGTGAGCGCGTTCACCGCCTGCTTTCGGCCAACAGGGAGCGACGTGACGGCTGCGGCCGTCGGCGGCCAGCCGGCGGCACGACTGCCACGCAAGGTACTGCCTGCAGCCCAGCCGTGCAGCCCTCTGCGCTCGAGCGGCTGGCTTGGGCGCGAGAGCACAAGAGCGACGCGGACCGGTTCGAGCGCGACTATGCGCACCAGCTCACGGCGGGCTCTCGGCTCGTCGGCCTGAGGCTGCAGCAGCGGCCCTTTAGCGCGCTGGGGTTCGCCTCGACAGTGTGGGACAGCTCCGTGGTCCTCTCCAAGGCCATCGAGCGCTGGGCGGCGCGGGGAAGCGCCGGCCTCGCAGGCCTCCCGAGTTGTGTGTGTGTGTGTGGGGGGGGGGGGCATAGCATGCCACCCACTCTGACTGTCGCGGAGATAGGCAAGGCAGTGGTCGAGCTGGGGGCGGGGTGCGGCCTCGTCGGTCTCACCGCCGCCGCGCTGGGTGCGCACGTCACGCTCACCGACCTAGGGTATGGGTTCGGGTTAGGGTTAGGGTTAGGGTTAGGGTTAGGGTTAGGGTTGGGGTTAGGTGCGCACGTCACGCTCACCGACCTGCCCGAGAACGTCCCTCTCCTCGCCGCCAACGTCAGCGCCAACCGCGACGCCGTCGCTCCGCCCGGGAAGCCGCCGCAGACTCTGCAGGCGCCGCAGCCGTCGGCTCGAGCACATGCCCGAGGGTCGGAGATAGACCGAGACGGACCGGTGTGTCCCGAGGTTAGGCGCGCAGCCTCGACTGGACCGCGCCGCTGCCAACCGACCTCGCAGCTTCCGCTGACTTGATCGTCGGCACCGACCTCCTCTACCTCGGCTGCCCCGCTGCCAGGAACCGTCCAGGAACCTTCCGGGACCCTTCCGGGACCCTTCCTCCCTAGGCACCGACCTCTTCTACCACGGCTGCCCCGTCGAGGACCTCGCCAGCACTCTCGCTTCCCTCGCCAGACCGGACGCGGAGGCCCGCTCTGCCCCCGTCGGCCGTTTCCGTCGCCTTTCCCCCGACCCTTCCGCGACCTTTCCTGCAGGCTTGGCTCGCCGTCGGCCGCAACCGCGGCGGGCTCGACGCGTTCCTCGCCGCGTCGCTTGGCTGGTCGTCTCGCCTCGCCGACCGCGCCACGGAGCTCGACCCGCTCTACCAGCTCGAAGACGTGGACGTGCTCGTCCTGCGCCGGGCAGGCGCCACATCTCCCCATATCTCCCCATATCTCCCCATATCTCCCCATTTCTCGTCCTCCGCCGGGCAGGCGCCGGCCTTGCGGCGCAGCGCCCTCGCCGACTGATCTTTGCGCTCTGCGGTCAGCCCAACAAGGCCGGCAGGGCCCGCTCCTTGTCGCCGTCCGCAACGCTTCCTGATTGGAAGCAGGCCAGTCCAACATGGCGGGCAGGGGATCGCTGCTCGAGGCGGGCGTCGCCGCGCCGCCGCCCGACGCGCGCATCAGCGCATTCTCGCAGGAGGGCGGGGAAGAAGAGAGGTGGCGCGTCGCGGCGGGGGCCGCTGCACGCTCACGCCGGCCAAGGCTGGCGAGCAGCCTTCCCCGAGGCTTCTCGGAGCCGTGTCGCGATAGGCTGACCCGCTGCACGCCGACAAGCCGGACAAGGCGCCGGGGGGCGGGGGCGGGGGCGGGGGGGGGGGGGGGGGGTGTCATCACGCTTGCTACATTCATGCCACGTGCATGTCCGTGACGCGTCCTGCCTGCCTGCTTGCCTCAAGGACATGTCCGTGACGCGTCCTGCCTGCCTGCCTGCCTCAAGGCGGGGGCCGGGCCTGGCCTCTCCTTCGCTCGCGAGCTGCTGCGGCGGGGCTTTGCGCAAGAGGTCGGTCTCGTGCCGTGCGCGTGTGGGGGTAGCGAGCTCTGCCCGGCGGGGGAGACGCCTCGCCGACGGCTCTCATTCACCGGGGCGTGGGATGAGCTAGGCAGCGAGCTGGCGAGGTGGGAGGAGGGAGGCGAGTGGTGCGAGGCGGCGGTGTGGAGGGGCTAGCGGGCGCCTCTCCTCGAGCTTTCTCGGAGCTGTCCTGCAGGCGACTTGTTCGAGGCGGCCGTGAAGAGGGTGGCCGCGAGTCTGGGAGAGGGCGACACGCTCGCAGGCTTGCTCTGGCATCAGGGCGAGTCGGATTGCGGCGACGAGTCGCTCGCAACCTCGCCGGTCTGGGCAGAGACCCCTCCTCGGACCTTCCTCAGACCCTTCCTGCAGGCGACGCGTCGCTCGCACGCTCGCACGCCGCCCGATGCGCGCGGGCGATTGGGCGGCTGCGCGGGCGGTTCGGCTGGGAACGGCGCCTCTTCACGCGTGCAGCTGTGAACAGGCGCTCGGCCGATTGCGAGAGAGGCTCGGCTCGCCCACGCTTCCCGTGGTGCTCGGCGAGTTGGGCTATTTCCTCGACCAGAGGGACGGCCGTTTCGCGCACGCGGCGACCGTCAACGCCGGGACCGTCGCGGCGCCAGAGCGGCTGCTTGCGGCGGCGTGCGTGAGCGCGCACGGCTTGGAGCACAAGGGCGACCGGCTTCACTTCAGCACCGCCTCGCAGCACGAGCTGGGGCGGAGGTACGCGCTCGCGTATTTGCGTTTGGTGCGTCCAAAGTCGGAGGCCGGAGAGATCACCGCCGAGGCGCCGTTCGCATTTCCAACGCACGCGCGCGGCGCCGAGGCAGCTGTCGCCCAGGCTATCATCGACTGAAGCAGCGCTCGGCGAGGTGGATGGATCGGGGGGAAGGGGCGAAAGAAAATTTTGAGGGTTGAGGAGGGCAGCGGCGCGCTCCGCGCGTGTCTGTGGGCGCTACATGCGGCCGTCGCCGTGCCCTTCATCAACCGTGCGCTCGAGAACCAAGCCCATTCATGATTACAATAGTATTCAAGTATTGTACTCATAATACACGTGCATCGTGAGTACTCAACTCATGAGTACCACCGCAGTTGAGTATTCATACTCATGAGTACGGCTGGCGCATGCGTGAGTAAATGTACTCAAGTCGCCATGAATACTACTCATCCCAGAGTCCCAAAACGCGCTCCCTGTCGACCGACCGCTGTCTCTGCTCCAGCGCTTCGCATATGCCACCAAAGAGGAAGGGAAGAGCCCAGCCTCGGCTAGATGTGCCAAAATACAAGCTGCTTCGGCAGCCGATGAGTCTTCTCGGCACGCAGGTCAAGTTCCCCGGGTCGTTCTGGGAAGGGCGAATGACGGCCGAAGAGAAAGCTGCGGACTACCTGTGCACGGTGCTTGACTTTCAGGTCGCTCACCGCATGCAGCCTGGCGCCCCGCCGACACAAGCCTTTCAGCTGCAGGAGATGGGCACCGACGGCACAGGATCGCTGAGAGGGAGAAGGCAGCCTACCTTTGGGTCATGAGGGCAGGGGCCAGGCATCTCCTGTGGTGCATTCTTGGCAGCCAAGGAGCAAAGCACGCGGCCCTGGCTAGCTGTGGTGTGGCTGGGAAGCCGTGCTAAAGATGCGTGCCCGCACTATCTAAAGATGCGGGACAACAAATGTGCAGCTGCCCGCACCTAAAGTGAACTAAATGTGGCGCTAAATTGGAGATATCAGATAAAACACACTAAATATGTGCTAAATATGTGCTAAATATGTGCTGAATTTGTACTAAATTTGCGCTAAAGTCGCGCTATATACGTACTCGAACACACACTAAATAGCGCACTAAACTAGCACTAAAGTTCATTCACAGCCTTGTTATGAGAAGAAAATACTTCCTATGGCGCTATGCGCTGGTCTGTGAGAGGTTGAGGTGCGAGCCCTTCACACGCACTATTTAGACCCAGGCGCCCTCCGATATGGATAGCGGCGCCGCGGAGGAGTAGCAGTTTCCAGGGAGTGTCAAGTTTGTCAAGCCGAGATGCTTGGCGATATGTATCTCGGCAGTTGTATCTCGGCGGATTCTATAGCGTGGTGTACCTGTGTTAGTGCCAGTGCGCGCCAGTCCCGTGCCCAGTGTTGTGCGAGGGAGTTTTGTTGTAAAATTCTAGTGTGCCGGTGATAGTACTAGCACGCGCCAGTTCGCACCTGTGTCGAGCCTGTGTGCTGTGAGAGAGAGTTCTTAGAGGGTTTTTGCTAAGGTTCCACACACGTCCCACGGCGGGCTCCCACGTGTGGGATCCGGGACTCGTGGCGTCAAGTATTGTACTCATAATACACGTGCATCGTGAGTACTCAACTCATGAGTACCACCGCAGTTGAGTATTCATACTCATGAGTACGTCTGGCGCATGCGTGAGTACTTGTACTCAAGTCCATGATTGAATACTACTGGCCAGTCGGTCACGTCCCAAAACGCGCTCCCTGAGACTCGACCGACCGCTGTCTCTGCTCCAGCGCTTCGCATATGCCACCAAAGAGGAAGAAGGCCCAGCCTCGACTAGAAGTGCAAAAATACAAGCTGCTTCGGCAGCCGATGAATCTTATCAGCACGCAGGTCAAGTTCCTCGGGTCGTTCTGGGAAGGGCGCATGACGGCCGAAGAGAAAGCTACGGAGAACCTGTGCACGGTGCTTGACTGGAGTACCTGTGCACGGTGCTTGACTTTCAGATCGCTCACCGCATGCAGCCTGGCGCCCCGCCGATGCTGGCAGACCAACCCTGCAGGGTTAGGGTTAAGGGTTAAGGGTTAGGGTTAGGGTTAGGGTTAGGGTTAGGGTTAGGGTTAGGGTTTAGGGTTAGGGTTAGGGTTAGGGTTAGGGTTAGGGTTAGGGTTAGGGTTAGGGTTAGGGTTAGGGTTTAGGGTTAGGGTTAGGGTTAGGGTTAGGGTTAGGGTTAGGGTTAGGGTTAGGGTTAGGGTTAGGGTTAGGGTTAGGGTTAGGGTTAGGGTTAGGGTTAGGGTTAGGGTTAGGGTTAGGGTTAGGGTTAGGGTTAGGGTTAGGGTTAGGGTTAGGGTTAGGGTTAGGGTTAGGGTTAGGGTTAGGGTTAGGGTTAGGGTTAGGGTTAGGGTTAGGGTTAGGGTTAGGGTTAGGGTTAGGGTTAGGGTTAGGGTTAGGGTTAGGGTTAGGGTTAGGGTTAGGGTTAGGGTTAGGGTTAGGGTTAGGGTTAGGGTTAGGGTTAGGGTTAGGGTTAGGGTTAGGGTTAGGGTTAGGGTTAGGGTTAGGGTTAGGGTTAGGGTTAGGGTTAGGGTTAGGGTTAGGGTTAGGGTTAGGGTTAGGGTTAGGGTTAGGGTTAGGGTTAGGGTTAGGGTTAGGGTTAGGGTTAGGGTTAGGGTTAGGGTTAGGGTTAGGGTTAGGGTTAGGGTTAGGGTTAGGGTTAGGGTTAGGGTTAGGGTTAGGGTTAGGGTTAGGGTTAGGGTTAGGGTTAGGGTTAGGGTTAGGGTTACGGTTAGGGTTAGGGTTAGGGTTAGGGTTAGGGTTAGGGTTAGGGTTAGGGTTAGGGTTAGGGTTAGGCCCAGGGTTAGGGTTAGGGTTAGGGTTAGGGTTAGGGTTAGGGTTAGGGTTAGGGTTAGGGTTAGGGTTAGGGTTAG